ACAATGAAGCTGTACTCCCAGCAGCTACATCCAAGAAGTGAAGCCCATCCGTTACAACTAACTTAGTACTGAACAACGATATAACATTCTTAAATAAACGTTTAAATTCATCAAGGCCAAATTTACCTTGTTTTTATTTATGTCCGATCATTGCTTCGTAAAACAGTCCCTAATGTGATGGCCTGTCTTCTTGCAATAAGCACACGCAGCGGCATTGTCTGCCTTACCAGTTGGCTTACTCGACACAGGTTCCTTTGTAGCAGCTGCAGTGCCAATTTTTGGCTTTTTGGAATAGTTTACCTGTTTGTGCCCTTGCTCGCCATAGTGGAAACGCTTAATACTAGCGTTGAAGGCTTGTACTGGTCGCTTATTACCTTGGGTTCTGCTGATGCTGTTCGGTTGAAACAGACGGCGGACCGGTTTGGTGTAGGAGTTATCAGGCTTCATGAATTTAGACAGGTAATTGACTAATTTATCAGGGGATAGGTTTGCGTTTGTTGCTGCCGCTTTAACCTGAGGGTCGTTAATGCCTCGAAGTACTATGTCAGTAATGAGGTCATCACTGAGACCCCTGACTATGCGTAAACGTGCATAGATCGCATACGTACAAAAGCTGTTTGAATTGGTGGACATTACTTCGTATAAAATGTTAGCTTTATCCACCTTTTTGACGCATAAACATTTAAAGTCTTTTTTTAAAGTTAGGTAGACCAGGGTCGGTCACTGGTTACCCAGTCGTCTAACCAGGATTTCACGTCTACTTTCAAACACCTTCCTATACGTGCAAGGCACTTACAATCATCCCAACTATTCGCGGCCATGACCCTATCTACCTCCTTGAACCATGATTCGACATCGTGAACGTTGGGGTTGAAATTGGAAACAGTAACCGTGGGTACTTACGGTTTTTTAAAGATTGACGATATGTTCCGTTCCGTTTCCAAAAGGAGGCACCACGGAAGTCGGCTGATCTGGAAAAGGTGGTACAAGTGCGCGTGACTCTAAAGCATGCAAGCGAGACATAATGTTGTGCCAAGAACCGTCTATTGTAGTCACGGGTTTGAATTCGATCAACACGATGACAATAGTAACGGCTGCGGCTATGACTGCGGCAATCGTGGCGTTCATCATAGCGGCCATGCATATGACTACGGCTGCGGATACGGGTACGGTACCCTGACTTAGGTGGAGAAGTATATCCTCACGATATACTGTGTGATCTACGGCTTACTGATCGCCTGCTGTGCGAACCCCGGCTGCGTGACCTTGACCGAGATAAGCGATCCATTTTGCTCTTATCACTGAACACAAAAAGCGGTAACACAGAAGCACAATAACAAAAAACACAAAGAGCACTTTTAAAATGTTAATCACTCATGACTTCGTTCTTTACGGACACAAAGAGAAGGAAAATTTAAACCACAAAAATTACTCAAAACAAAACAAAAGGAAGTGAGCGAAAAGTTCAAATCCCAATTCTGATATTAGTTAACAGAAGCAGATTTAATTTAATAAAAACAAAAGACTACACACGAAATTGAATTTACAAAAAACAACAATCAAAAGATTAGAACGTGTAGGTACTTTTACACTTCTAAAATTTACTGAGGGTAGGGTAGTAACACGTCCGTGCCGCACGAAGTCTCAAATAAAAGTGAGTGACAGGTGACTCACTCACTGTGAGTCAACGCCGGTTTTGCTTCGCCTATAAGTTTCTGCTCAAAGATGACGTCAGTCCGCTAACTATATTATATTATTATTATATTATACAATACTATTATATTGTACTTCTTGCAATGCTTCTGCTCATTGCTCTGTGAAGTAAACCTAAATTTTTTGTTACTGATTTGTAACTGAGTGTATTGTGATTGTGGTTTTGAATTGTTTTTGATATATTTTTTAATGTAATTCATTTAGAAACAGTTAACAAAATATGAATTTGCCCATTACATGAGAACTAAAAAACTTAAAAAAAATTAAATTTGGTTTAAATTATAGGTTTTTTATCATTTCAAACATAGATCGCCAATAATTGTCGGATATCGATAACGGTTTAAAAATTAAAAATATTGGCTTTGATATGCCACAGTTTTAAACTCTATATTCATTCTCTAGTTTTTATAGCTTACTTTTTGTATACCGCCGGTTTTTCAACTTTAATTATGAAATTGAAATTCAAATCAAATAATTATATTAAGCATAGCAAGTTAAAATCTGTATAAGTTTAAGTTATAACTGTTTAAGTTGTAAAGATGTAAAAGTTGACGATTTAATCTGTACCTACTTATCTTGATGCAACGTAGAACAGGGTCTATTGTCAGTGTCAAACATGATTTGTTATAAAAATGGCTACGCTGCGAGCGTTTAGTCGTAATATACCATATTTACGCCAACAATTTTCAGCATTATTAGGAAACACATCGCCTTCAGTTAAATTTATTTGTGTTGTAGTAGTAATAGGTTACATATTATCATTTTCTGAGGATGTCATCAATGTGCTTAGCGTTACCCCTGGTTATTTATTACCTCCCTCATTTCAATTATGGTCTACTTTTACCTTTTGGTTTCTCGAAATACACTTGTGGGAGGTGATTATAGATGTAATAACAGTAGGATTGTGCGGAAAACTGATCGAACCGTTATGGGGTCAAATAGAGATGATGAAGTTTTTTATGCTAACAAATATTGGTGTAGCATTCCTGACGACGTTTTACTACCTGATGATATTTATGTGGACTCAAGAAACATCGTATCTCTTCGATATACACGTACACGGACTCGCAGGATATTTAGCAGCAGTGAGTGTAGCTGTGAAACAAATAATTCCAGACCATTTATTGATAAAAACCCCTTTAGGTATGAATTATTTTCAATTTTATTTATGTTAAAATAATCGTTATTCAGTCAATTCAGCCTCAGTTCAAATTTTGTGGTGTCTTTCAGGCAAACTTACAAACCGATCCCTTCCTCTTCTGATTCTAATACTGGCAATTATATTTTGGGCTGTGGGTGCCCTAGAAGGAACTTACCCCTGCATGTGGGGTAGTGGTACATTGCTTTCATGGATATATCTAAGATTCTGGCAGCGTCACAGTAATGGTTCCAGAGGTGATATGGCTGATAATTTCAGTTTTGATAAGTGAGTATTAAAATGGAAACTAAGAATTCTATGTTTAGCTCAATTTATTTTTTTTACTAAAGCCAACCTTTTATATTTTAGAGAATTCACCATGCAATTCAGACAACATATTGTTTAGCTTATAAATATCCTTTTTTTTCTCATTTCAGTTTCTTCCCCACTGTTCTACAGCCTGTTATAAGAGGAATTTTAAGTCCAATTCATCGTTGCTTTGTAAGATTAGGTTTGTGCTCACCTAGTCAGAGAAGAGTTCATCTAGCACTTAGTCCTCGTGGGGTTACAATCACTATGCCAGGTGTTGAACCACAGGACATGGAGAGAAGGCGGTATGTTATTCTACAATAATGTCATAAAGATGAAATATTTAATTTTTCTATATTTGCTTGTTTGATATTGAAAGTTCCAATCATATTAGAAAGTATCAAAAAGCACTGTGCACTGAATTAAATCATAAATATTTTGCTTTTAGGCAAATTGCGCTTAAAGCCTTGAGTGAAAGGTTATCCAAAACATCTGAACAAACACGGCAAAAGAACTTATCTACAAAAGTTAACATAGACGCTGTGAGGAAAATACAGTCCTCTCATGTGATTCCCCAATTTCCAACCGAACCAGAAACTAGTTCATCACCTGCGGAAGCTACTCTAGTGGACATTGACACTGAGGCACCACCTACAACCAAGACTTCATGATCTTTGTCACTTGTCTAGGACCCACTAGACATGTTTTTTGCAGAATTCAATTGATTTTAATGTCAGTAGTTCTGTGTAAATACCATTTCAGTTCTTTATAACTAGTACTGTATAAAAGTAAATTTGGTACTGCATGTTTTGTCCAAAACCAAAGAAAAATTATCAATTTCCAGGTGAGTTTTCTCAGAAATGAATATTTATAGTAATACAGGTTTTGTTAAATCACAATTGAAGGATTTGGTAGAACTACATATTCCTGAAAATGGTATGTTACACAACACAAATTATCTGTAGATAATAATTATCGTTATGTCTGTTATTAGTCAGTATAAAAAAGTTATAGATTGAATTCCAGGTCTTTTCTATATGAAAAATATATAAAAACGGTTATTCGTTATAAGCTGACCTTCACAAAGTTGTTAAAAATGTACTATTTCTGGGTGAGATATATTTGTTTATAAGTTACTATACAGTTTCAGTGTAGGATAAAAACGTTTGGCAGTGATGTGAATAGGGACTGATAGGTTAAGAGACCTCTGAACAAAGCTATATGGTTATTTTGAGAAAGTCCAGAATTGATACTGCAAGTCATGCTTTATTTTGAAATTATAATTATTGAGCACAGAATGTCCTACATTGCCACTGTGCTACTTTTTAATTACTTTCAATGTATTTATATTTCTGGTATTAAACTTATATTTTGCATTTGTTGTCAGTTGTGTATGTTATTGGTAAATGTGAGGTATGTTTGTAAATATTATGTAATAGTGTTAAATAAATAACTAATTATTGATTCTTTCATTTGTTTTATTTTGTGTAGTTTGACATTTAAATTCCAAATGAAGGTTGTCAATAAATAATTATTGAGCAACTTATATTTTATACACCTCTATTTCAATTATTTATTGTAACATATTATTTCCTTATGCAATTTTATTTTTATATACATTGGTTTAAACTGTTCTTTACAGATTGCAGAAATTGTAATTTATATTCTGCTAAAAGGCATGTTTCATGGACATAAGATAGTTGCTAATGTTATCTATAATAGTGATTTTGAGGCCACTGTTGTGTGGGCGGCTGATAAGTCTCTGGCCATCTCGTTGTGTCTCCAAGAGTACTGGGTGGTAACGGTACTGGAGTTCCCATGGGTGGTGTTACATTAGTGCTCATGGTTGTTCCTGAGAATGAGAAATTAATTTTAACTTTTTTGAACACTATAAATATGTAAGGTAATAGTAATAATAAAGTATTCTGTGTCAGGAAATAAGCTGTAATGGTAAAAAAAAGAAGTATATGAATCACATCATCCCATGTTCCATATTTTCTATTAACACAAATAAAAATTATTTTTTTATCAACTTCTTACAATTAATTTTAATATAACTTTTTATAGCGTTGCGTGATAGTACTTGAATCGAAACAGATAATTTTTATTTAGCATACTATACTAAAGGCAGGATGCAAAATGTATTGATTAATAACTACGACTGCTGTGAAAAGTCGAATAGTGAGCAAGTTGACTATAAGTCTAAGGAAAATATCTTACCAGGTCCAACGTATGTCGCAGGCGCAGTATACGCAGCGGGATAGTATGGAGGTGGAACAGCCATGTTATGAGCTAACACGGGCACAGTCGACACTGGCACTGCCGGGGCTGGGACCGGCTGGGGACTCTGCTGATAATTTTTTTAAACTAAATTTTTCGTAAACAAATTATATAAAAAAAGTTGAGTCAAAAATATGTTTTTTGAAACCCCTCTCCCACACCACAGTGGTCCATTTCCTAAGAAAGGCGGTCATAGAGGTTATGTCGGATAAAAATGAATTTAACTTTTTTCAAATGATTGTTTTAAGGTTTTATTATAAGAAAAATAGATATATTTTTAAAAAGGTAGATGTTATTCAAAAAAAAGGATCATCCGTACTAATAAATATAGGTAGCAATAAAATAAGTTTTATTTATACATTATTTTCATGTTATGTGTGACAACGAAGAACGGGTTTCATTTTTTATATAGATTTCTGAAAATAGTATTTATTAATATTTTAAAGGATTTAAATTAATTTTTAATTTTAGGTTTTTTTATGCCAATATAGTTTAATATATAAATCAAATTTTTTGCTAATAAGATTTTCTTAAAGTAATTTTTATGTAGAAATAATGGGTTGAATTAAAAGAAGTCTGTTCAAAAGATCCATATTAGTTATTTCGGAATGTTTCCTAGTGTTATCGGTCTAAATAGTTTAATAATTTATTACAAGATTCGGCGGCCTCTTCAATAATTCACCGATAGACAATATAGATTATCAATCACCTCTGAACTCATTAAAACTTTATGTATAGATGAAGGCAAATTATACCAAGGATATTCCTCAACAAGCATTTTGGCAGTATCAAAGCATAACTTTTAAATTTTTGTGAATTTATTTTATACACTTGACCTCCCAGTTTCTTCCATATGCAGCAAACCGTTTACAGAGATTACAAATTAAATCTCTTAAGTAATCGGTCTTGATATTTCAGTGTCCGGTAAAGAATTTGCTAGCATTTCAAACACTTCACGAGATTATCTGCCTCATTTTCTTTACTTGTGCATTAACACTTCTAGAACAAGCATTCGAGGAAAAGAATACTTGATGATGGATCCTACAGAATAAAAGAAATGAAAATTATAAGGTATCAAATTTACCTATACACGACTTTGTCTTTGTCATGACCTATAAGCAATCCTCGGCGCACTTTCGCCTCTCCCAGATAAGATTCAAAACTAACAAACAAGAGATATGATATTGTTTATTTTGGGGATTCGTTCCTTCCTAAGTAAAAGTCTAATTAAAGGCAGGCGTAAAATCAAAAAATCGGAAGTCTTTCTTGATGGTCTGATACAATAACGACAGGTTAAAGTAAAACAATAGGATAAAATGTCGTACATACCTTCTATTTGAATATCCATGGCAAAAAATTATCACAAACACTCACTTTCCGAGAAAAACACCCCTTTTTACCCAAAAAATTTTTCCCCCCCCCCCCCCCCCCCTTTCCCCCTTTTGTAATTATCGGAAACCCCCCCCCCCCCCCCCCCCCTTTTCCCCCCCCCCCCCCCCCCCCCCCCCCCCCCCCCCCCCCTCTTCCTCTCCTGTATCACTTGGGCAAGCACGCACCCAGGTTTTCACTTCAACGGTTGCACAAGTAGAAGGGTTATTTGTCTACCCTGAGTGATAAATGACGCTATCAACCATCGACATTTCAGCCCTAAGACCTTAGGGGGGGACCCCCTGCCCCCGGCCCAAAAAAAAAATTTTTTTAATTTGGGGGGGTTTGAAAAAAAATTTTTTTTTCCCCCCCATAAAAAAGGGGGATGGGTGTTTTGTGTTTTGGTATTTTGTTAGAAACCAAAAAAAGGGGGGGGGCCCCCCCCCTTTTTTTTTTTTTTGGGTTGGGGGGGGGGGGGGGGGGTGGGGCTCCCCCTTGGTACCTGCAATAAATAAGAGACTAAATAAATAATTTGTACATAAGAAGAATCTTTTATTACCAAAAAAACAAAATAAATAATTTAAATAGTCTACATTGCTAAAAGTTACTAGGGAGCGTTCAAGTGTTACGTAACGCGTTTTTGGGGGGCTTTTGTAAAACGTTACGATGCGAGGCGGGGATTGAATTACGCGTTATTGTTAATATTATTTTCGACACCACATAATAGTAATTAAAGAGACACAAGGTGGTCACGCAACTATTTAATATACTTGAGTACAGTACTGTACTTATGTACTGAAAAACGTTACGGCGAGATAAATGGGGGGGGTGTCAATAATCTCCAAAAATTGCGTTACGTAATACTTGAACGCTCCCTTATTAAATCAATGTATATTTTATAGCTTTATAAAAATCATATTTTACCTACACTATAAAGTATATATAACAAGAGTGTTTATTTCTCCATTTAACAATGTATAGTAAAAACTAACAAAAATAAGGTTTTCCTGAATTTGGTAAAAAAGTTCTAATAATAACTTCTTAAATATAAATAGAATGCATCATACCGATAAAGGTTTTACAATAGTAACAGGAGGTTCAGGTTCCGGCTTTGCATCACCTCCACTTGATACATGCCGGTGGTTTATATGGGCTTGTAGATCTCTCTGTAAACATTATGTAATTTGAGGTACAAAATTGCAACGGCATGGTTCAATAGAGTGATTAGTCATACAATATGTGAGACAGTGGTATTATTTGATATTAAAATATCCAGCAACACCTGGTGAGGTATGTATAGTCTCACCAATAACATATCAAGCCAATTTGGTAGTTTAGTTGGAATTCAAGGTCGAAAAGTACTTGTGTAAAATACCTGGAACAAAGTCTTAAAACACTATTATAACTGTTTAAATATTTTGTCATTTTGACTTACTAATATATTTAAAATAATAACTGTAAATAAATTCAGAATTTTTGCAAAACATTTTAGTATAAAAAACCACGTCTTTTTTCAACGGAAATTATTATGGGCAATATGTTACTAAAACTTTTGCCTAATTTTACTTTCCTGAAATAGATTGCAACAACCATGAAGATAGTTTTAATTTACAGTGTAATTATACCAAAAAACCATAAAAGTTAATACAACAGTTTAAAAACATTTATTTATTTATACTTCATTGCCAATTAAAGAGAGGTAATAATATATCTCTGTATCACCAAGGTATATATCCGCGAAAAGTGGTAATAAATAATTACGTCCTAGACGTTCGTCAAAATGTGCGGTTACTGTGTCGTCCGTAATTATGTTTAAACGATTTTGCTCTTGAGTCTAATTATATAAATTCCTGTATGGTGCATTAAGTTATTTTTTAAGTATGTATTTACAGTAACAAAAATGTTTGATTAGGAAAAAAAATAGGTTTCAATTGATATATTTGTATATGTACTTAGTATCCTAGTAATTTAATTTCTAACTTCTATTATTTTTCTGAAAAAAAAAAAAAATAGATTTTGCTTTTATAACTTTGTTCCCTGGGGCAAGCAATATATATAAACTATAAATGCAAGTTATTTTTAACTTTTTTTTCAAAATATAATTATCTAATATGTATTACATTACATTATATTTATAATTTCAGTACCTGTGACAAATATGTTCTTCTACATCCAGTGTTGCCATATCTTGATCCAGAATGTGTACACATAAACACTGTTCCCAAACCAGTCTGTTCAACTCTTAAAACCTGAAAAAAATATTGAAACAGAAATTGACAAATAACAAGCAATTATCAGTTAAAATTGTTTACTCTGAACCAATTTCATGATAGAAAAGAAAATCTACAAAACAATTACCTTTTCTTTACAGCGAGGGCAATGAGTGTGTTCTGCTCTGGCGCAGGATAAGCAAAAAACATGCTTACATGGTATCTGAAATTCAAGTAGTTTAATTTTAATATAATAAAATTAAATAAAATATATTATTATTCATATCAAAGTAATAAAATGTAGCATTATTATCTTCTTACATCTTAATTTTATTTCAAATATTTTTAAGCACTGAAGTATATAATATTTGATTTAAAGTAAAATAGCAATTACCATTCTTCCATAAATCAGAATAGGTTTTGAGCATGTATCACAACAGTATATCATAGGATTTAAAACTTTCTCCCCAATGAGATTTGCTCTATGATTCCATTCCAGTCTCAACATAGGCTCTGGTGGTCCACGCTGTATTGTAGTGAACACCGGTGCTTCCAACTGTGATATGTCTGAGGGCACCTCCACTGTATAAAGCAATCTTATTAGTTTTAAACACAAAGATTTAGAATTAAAACAATAACCATCAACCTAATTTTATATTTTTAAGATAAATGTACAAGTATATATGAGATGAATTTTTATACTAAATGTTTGGTATACTTCTTTTTACAATTTGCAGGACCTTAGAGATAAATCAACTACAATATGTAACTCACATTTAGCAGGTTCATTTTCTTCATTATCTTTACTATCTTCAGGTGGTGGTTCTTCTTGGTCTTGTGCAGTCTCTTCCATGGAGCAGTCTTCTTCATCAGACGACATCACTTTTGGCACCTTTTTACCTCTCCCCCGTCCACGGCCACGACCTCTTCCCCGGCCGCGACCACGACCACGGCCGCGAGCATTCCTCTTTTCACTATTCATTTAAGACTTATGTCCAATTCGATGACTGATAAGATATTCAGTATTGACAACACATAAGTCGAAAAGACAAGAACTGTTTTATACCGGTTTATAGTAATGTCAATAGTATCACAATTGTGACTTAATCAGTTATCGAATAAGTAACCACGATTGTAGATTCACCTGTCCATCCAAGAGAAGGATTAATTTATAATCAGCTTGTACTAACACAAAAACCTTCTGAATGAAATAAGTTAATTCCTAAGCATAAACTTTCAAGTTTATGGAATATGGATGATTTTGACAATTGACAGATTCATAGCACTTTGTTGACAGATGATGAATACTAAAGAAAATGAAGATAGAAAAACTAAAAAAATTTAAAGGAAAATTTATATATTTATGGAAGTTGTTCTTAGATTCGTAATTATCCTAAAATATAATTGGAATTAAAGAAAATTAATAATTATTGAATTAACTGATTAAGGAAATCAATGAAAATAATATATATTGTTCTATACCACTAGATGACGTTATTAGACATTTTTAAATGGCAATTTTTATTATTTTCCCTCCCAAAAGAAAGTGTAAACAAAAATCAATTCTTTTATATATTTTATTTCATAATAAAAATTTATTTTTCTAAAGTTATATACGTCTTAAAAATTTTCCACATCAGGAATATGTCTTATATATATAATTCTTCTGTGAGTGTGTATGTCACTGAACTTCTCTCAAACGACTGGACCGATTTTGATGAAATTTTTTGTGTGTGTTCAAGGGGATCTGGGAATGGTTTAGATTCACAAATCAGCCCGGCAGATGGCACTGCAGTCGGTACTTTCATACTTTGCTTAATATCCTAATCGCTTTAAACATCATGCAGGACAACGTCTGTGGGGTCCACTAGTGTCTTATATAATCGAGGAGTTTGATGCATAGGTACATAATAATAATAGTTTTTATTGGTTACGTAAGAGTTCGATGTGCGAGAGGTCGATGGGCGATGGCGACCACAAAGCGGTCACGGCCGGTTGACGCTCTAAAACTGCAAGCTGGTACAGTGAATTGTCATTTATACGTGATGAACTAGTACCTGACAACTTCGTTTGCGTATAGTAAAGCATTAATTTATAGTTTTGAACAGAATTAATTAAAATCGTTTCAACTTTCAACTAAAAGTTTAAAGCGCCAAATCAACAAATAGAAACAGCTGTATGCAAAAATTGTTAAGCTTTTAAACTGTGTTTTGTTTTGTATTTATTTTTTAAACACAGACACAGTTTAGAGTGTTATGATTTTAATACACCCATATTAAAACTTATCAGGAAGGATAGTTTTCGTTGATCTTCTTTTATACTACGAGTAAGGTCGCAAGGGCTAGTCGTACTGTAAATTTTTCAACCGTAAGTTAACCGGGAAGTTGTTAAAAAGTTCGCAATGAATAACCTATAACGAGTTAAAAATAAAAATAAATTTTGGCAAACTTTTGCTTCCTTGAAGCGGAACGAAGTGAAATGATGATGGTAGCGAATATTGGTTGATCTATTTTAGTTATAGATTATACCTACAAGTAAGTTTGAAGGGAAAAATATTTTAGTCCTAATCAATTGTTTGTTCCTCGATCATGTCCTGAATCATTAAGCAGTTAGAACGTGATTGAGGAACATATCTGCTTGCGCAAGAGCTATTGATTGCTTTCTTCGTTTTATAATTGCGGTTATTATCGAATGACTGGCTATATCCATATATAATTTATTAGCATAATTCTTTCGTTATATTATTCGTGATTGGTTAATTAAATTCGAAAATTACATTATCTGTTAATTAATGAATCCCTCTAAAAAATTGACAGCTCATAGAAATATTCTCCCGGTAGTGATTTTTTAAAATGATTTAGTAGACTGCGTATTTTGGAGTAGGTAATTGAATTATGTGAAGTTTGAAGTTTGGACTGAACATGTTAATAGTGTGGCACAACAACTCTTTATGGGCTTCGTTTCTGGGTCTGTTTCAAGAAAGATTTCGGTTTCCTGCGAGTCATCAACATTTGTTTGATAATTTCTTTGGCGTGACACAAAGAGGCCTTAGTCAAGATGCCTTAACAGTAGTGTATGTAATAAGTCAATAACTAAATTTGTATTAAAACTTTTCGACACGAACTGTCATTTCCATACAAATTTAGTTTTCGACTTTCTACATACACTACTGTTAAGGCATCTTGACTAAGGCCCCAGCATGTGCTATATTCCTGTAGATGTTGTATAACGTCAAATAGTAGTGTAAACCAACTACTTAGTTCACGTAGGTACTTACCTACGTGTGCCAAATCTATTAATATTCTGATGCGCTCAGTTCCTCAGAAGTAACTGAGTTCATTGGGGTCAGTGTTTAGTAAAACATGCGTGTTTTCTGACTGTTTAAAGACTTACCGTAAAGTGAGACTTTAAATAAGCATTTTTTTTGTATTACTTATTAAATATTTACATGTCTTTACGAAATCGTTCCACTAAAGTAAAAACTACTTAAATAAATGAAGTTCAATAATTATGGTAGGTACATTTTATAACAAACATCTTTACAATATTGTAGGTAAGGATATTCCATACTTAATCTCCTCATACAATTATTATTTATTTATACGATCAATATTCTAAAACTAACTACCAAAAAATAAAACAAAATATGAAAGACAATTTAACCATTGCATATTTTGCCAACGTCCATACCACGTTGTACACGCCGGTTCTCGTCCGATCACCGAAGTTAATCAATGTCGGGCGCGGTCAGTACTAGGATGGGTGACCGCCTGGGAACACCACGTGATATTGGCTTTTTGTTTTATTAACTTTTGTAGTTTTTACTAAGAATTAGTCATACGTTCAGCTTGATATCGGAAAAGGTTGGACCTTGAAGATCCTCAACACATTTTCTATTTCTATAGATAAAGAAGGTTATATTAATTTCAACTCTACAAGGATTGTAAATATTGATTGCTTAATTGAATCTGTACCAATAAATAAGTAAACTACTAACTGTACATAAATCAGTTTATAATTTTGTAATACTGTTTTGCGGATGTTTTAGAATTTCGGCGCCAATAAGTCAATATTATGGTTTCATTGTAATTTGTAACTTTGTTATATAAATTGAATGGAAAGCATTGATTTTATTTCAACATCTCATCTAAATCGATGTTTTCATTAAATAATCACCGATTACTTTACGGGGTCTTCTATCAGTTATTCATTGTATAAAAAATCGCATATTTGTAATAATAATCCAATGCCCATGTAATTCTTAGAGGCGCTTCACGTTTCATTGGTAATTTTGGTAATTATTAGGTCTATGGGTAAGGGTGATTCAGAAACGACAGCGCGGCATAATATGCTTCTGTCAATATCCAATGCATATATTTTGACGAACACAGACTAAGGGGGGAAGAAGGCAGTGCACGATATACGAAATTAGGTCGACAACAATACAATACAATCATGTACAATTACTTGACTAAAATAAGATAATATTAAAGGAATCACAACTAATATCAGATAATACAAACGGTAATAGTTGTAAGATACATGAAAACAAAAATCACTTGTTTGAAGAGGATATGATAGGAACGTAGAAGTTTATAAAACAATTAAACAAACGAAATCCAGTTGTTTTTAATAAAAACAATACGATTACAGTCACATCTTTATATTTTTAAGCAGTTTTATTCATTAACTGTAACATACAGTATGCATTCATGTGTTTCAGCTAGCTTTACTAGATACAAAAGTTCCTGAGCATGAAACTTTGTATAAAAAAAAAAAAGGTGCGTTACTTATGTACCGCGTAAGAAGTTATACTTCTTTGGAATTATTAAAAATAGTTTTTGATTGCATGCAAATAATTAATTACAATTAAATAATCAAAGACTGGAAAAGGAGTCATTAAAGTCAATAAAGTTCAGTTTACATTTGAAAAATTAATTAAATAAATATTTATTATTATTCTCTTACATTAAACAAATAAAACACTATTTATCTTTAAAACATTTTTATTTCATTATACTATTTATTTTTAAGTGACTCTAATGTCTTCATCAGAATTTCGGTTTGTAATTTTAAATTAATCATTACTTGGTTGTGCATCTACGAGGCTTCTCCAAAACTACTTGCTTTCTGCAACAAATAAGAGAATATTAATTTAAGCTCTGTCCATGCAAAACTTAAAATTTTTTATAATTCATATTATAATTTTTTTAACACATTTATATTAATATAATTATATAAATGTGTTAATAATATAATTTGTAGCACATGCTACAGACCTGGATAGCAACTTTCTTTTATTCTATTTAGAGATAGAGATAATTTCAAAATATAATACCGGTGTCTTCTTTGTAGGTTTCTTTGGAGTTGTTTGGGGATTCTTGTTGTTCAGTTCGACATGATTTTCTTTAACCTTTCTTTAATCCTACAAAATAATGAAATTGTTAAGTTATGTTGTCACTGTTGTGCACACCTTTGTTTGGCTTTTTTAGTATTCAAGTTATGTCAAAACTGATTTATTACCTTGTCATTGTTGGCTTTATTTGCTTTTGGGATATCAATTGTTTCCAAAATGATTTTATTTGTAATAACCTGAAATATATAAATAACATCTATTAATTTAAGTATCATGGTGAGTGGTTCGCACTCAGGTATTAAGGTGTATTATACCCACTGTCCTTATAAGTGGGAATGGGCTCACTTCTGGCAGGACAGAGTTTCGGTACTACAAGTGCAACATGGATGTTTTAAGGTATTACAATTCTCTAACTACCCTTAGGGGAATAAAGTAATGTTGTAACATATGCCTTGCTTGAAAGGTTGAACCTTAACATCACCATACATCATATTTATAATTAACATTCCTACCTCGACACCATCACAATCAAATTCATTGAAATCTACTTCAAACATTGTGTCTCGAGAAGGTGATGGTGGCTTTGTTCCACCTCCAGTTTTTGATGTTTCACGGCGATAAGATGA